CCTTCCTTCCTTCCTTCCTTCCTTCCTCCCCACATGTAATATAGGCTTGCACCATTTGCCCTTCCCTCATGACCCTCAGGAGAGCTCCAGTGAAGCTGCCTCCTCCTTCTTCTCAGTTGACCCGTGGAATTGCCTGCCACTTTGCTGGGGGGAGGTGGAACAAAGGGAGCTGCAGACCATGAGGAATACTGCACCCCCACTCCCCATTGTGACATGTCCCCAAAGGCCCCCTCCCTCGAGGGAGGAAGAGGGCTCAACTGTCAATCACCAGCACCCCCCAGCCAGCCCTACCTTGCCAGCAGGCATCCAACTTGCTCCCTCGTCCTTCCCTCAACACCCACAGTTATTAAGAGATTTTACATTTCTCCCTCATTTCCAAAGCAGCCAATCACCACTCGCCCATCGGGCCTTGTCACCAGCTGATTAGACACAGGGGACAGACAGAAGCAGGAAAGAGTTTGGGGATATGTCCATGACAATCACATGATCTGGGCTGACCACAGTTGCAGCAGCACAGCAGTGCTGAAACAGCCACACATTTCCCAAATTTCAATCCCACAGGAGCAATGGGTCTAGGATTTTGGATGCATACTGTAAGGTAGCCCATTTGAGGTACCTTGGCTCCAAAATTGTTGCCCTATGATGCACGTTTCACCCAGTTGAAGGTTACAGATACAAGAATTTTAGTAGTATATAGGAGTGTTACATCTGTTAGAGACTTAATGGATCTATTCTGTTATTTGACTTCATGCCAAAAAGCAGCAGAAAAATCTTACTGATCTGCCACTGCATTTTGAGCCTGTGGTATTTCAGAGGCTCTGAACTGAATTTGGGAATTGCCCATAGGCCACTGGTTGGGCATTCCTGTTTCAGTAAATGGGGAAGACCGCCCTGCATATCAAAATCCCTGCATCAAGAAGAGACGTTACATGGGAGTAAAACTTTCTGACAGTGAACAAGTGTCTGTGTGGACAGCTATTACTGCTTCCTTAATTTGATTTTCTGCCTCTTGAATTTTCAGAATTTAAGAAATGAAGAGCAAGTGGCTATAATTCAAGCTAGTACTGTATTATCTCTGGCAGAAAAGGTATTTTTAAATGAATTTAGTATCTCATGCATATTACTTAATATGAATCTAAAAGTTAACACATTCTACAGAATTACAAAGAGAGGAGAAAAATAGTCTGTGGGAAAATATGCAATCTATGTGTGTGGTGTGAACAAATGAGAATGAAATGTTATCCAGAGTGCATCTTCCCCAAAAGGAAAAAGTAACTGGCTTTAATTGTTCAGTTGGCTTTCCACTAAGCCAAACCATTTCAATTTGCTTTATTTAGCATTTTCCAATTGTCCAAGTTACATTTTGCTTTAGCATGCTGGCTCCAGTCTATGTTCATGACAGTTAGGAGAAGAAATCAGTATTTAATTATACAGATAAATGTCTAGATATAAGAACTGCTTGACTAGAGAGGCCTTACTGTTGGAATAATAACAGTAGTTAATGATGCACTTTATGTATGCCAGCTAGCTGGGTTTGTTCTTTAAATAAAGAAATGATGAGAAATAGCATAGTATGATGCATGCTCTAGTAATGTACACTAACTAGGTCAATCTGTACTTTAAACGTAGAACAGATGACTCTGAAGCCTATGGCTCTGAGTCTGCATATGTTTTAATAATAATAGAAACCGGTCAGCATTCAGTAGTATACCAGCACAAAACAAAGTTATTGAGTACAGTAGGGAAAAAAGAGTAATGCCAATATGGAATATCCCCCAAAATTTCCCAGAGTGCTATATTTTGGGAAGACAAAAATATCCACAAGAATGAATAAGTACATACAGTTAGGCCAAGACTTGTCAAGACTTTGCCTAGAAAATATTTTCAGGGCCTGAGACCTAAAATGTAGTAACCAGATGCCTCTGATCATGTACACACCGTTCATCAACTGTAACTAGCCACCATATATCTGGAAATCAGTGTGAATTCCAGGTCAAAGGAAGTAACCAGGCTTAACTGCTCAATCCTCTTGTTTCCTAATGATTAGCTGACAGCAAGCAGCTATAAGCAACTTCAGTCAAAGTTCTATTCTCTGACTTTATAGTTGATGAAATGGAAAGACATTGCTTTTGGCAATATTGTAATCCTGAAGCTGGATTTTGATAATTTCTTTTTTTTTTTTTTAGTGGATACAACAGATTGAAGGGGCTGAAGCAGCTTTGCACCAGAAGATGATGGAACTAGAAAGTGACATGGTAGGGAAAAAATCCTTTTGGGGAGGGGAGGGTGGCACTTTCACTTCATCCCATGCTTCTTGTTAGTTGTCTGCTGGGCAGTGGGGGGTGGGAATCTGCTTTGTTTTTGTCAGTGTCTGAGTATTATACATTTTCTTACGGCTTCAGTAATCATAATGGTAGTGATAATATATTTTTTTTTCAAACTGTCATTCAATGTAGGAGCAGTTCTGTAAAATAAAAGGTTATCTAGAAGAAGAACTGGACTACAGGAAACAAGCTCTTGATCAAGCCTATATGGTAATTTGAAAGCCAATGATGGAAACACAAGCACATTTCAGAATGCAAATTTGTTGCATTTCAGTGGTAAACGCATGTGCTTGTAGTATGTTGGTCTGGTTTAAAGCATGACTTTGGTTTAAATAAACTCCAAATTAATGTGATTTTTAGGCTTTGTTTTTTAAAAAGAGAGAAAACTTTCTGTGAGATAGCACATCAGTCTACTTTTTGTACTCCTTACATAAGTGAGAGCTTCAGCGAATATGTGACGCTCCCAAAGCCATAGCACATTACGTGCCCGCTTTAGCAGAGTGGAGCACTGCCCGTGCAGACCTTTATTTGCCACTGAAGTGGCAAAACCTGTGGTATGTCCTGAATACAAGGGAGGATAGGAGGTGGGAGAAAGAAAGTTTACATTCAAATTTTGGACATTTTGTGATTTGGTATGGAACGGTTAACATTCATCAGATTTGAGACATTGAATGTAGTACACCGTATCTGAGAGAAGTACGTAGCACAAATTTTTATTTTAGTCTAATTCTAGTCGGTTGTACTAGCTTAAAATATATACATAGACAAACAGACAAACAGATAGTTTTTACCAGATTGCATCCTCTTCTATATTTTCTTATGCCATTGCTTAGAGAATCCAGGAGCTTGAAGCTACCCTTTACAATGCTTTGCAACAAGAAACGGTGATAAAGTTTGGAGAACTGCTGAGTGAAAAACAGCAGGAAGAACTTCGAACTGCTGTAGAGAAACTGAGAAGGCAAATGCTGAGAAAAAGCAGAGAATATGATTGCCAAATCCTTCAAGAGAGAATGGAATTGCTGCAACAGGCACATCAGGTGAGATTCAGTTTATAGGAAAACTGTTGGGTTTCACTATATTTTTTTTCTAAGGTTCATTGTTGTAGTTCTGGTGGCTACATTTTAATTTTTAATGCGAGAGAAATCATTAAATACATGACTAAAGATTGTTCATCATCCTAGAGGACAAACAACATGTAAATATAAATTTTAATCAAATTAAAATCGTCATTCATTTTTATCAGGCTGCCTCCTCCACATGTTAGGGTGCAATCCTTGCCCTTCACTCTGAGGCCAAGGGACCCTCGGCCTGGAGAAAGCTAAAAACCCTACACTAGAGTTATAACTTATTTTTCATATCTACGAATTTTAGAATTTTTAAATTAATTTTCTTCAGCCAGACTTCACAGGATGTAAGGGTTTTTATTTATGTGTTTATTTATGGATAGATTCTGTTTATTTCTAGAGGATCCGAGATTTAGAAGATAAAACAGACATTCAGAAGAGGCAGATCAAGGATTTGGAAGAAAAGGTTAGTTGTTTTATATATCCAAAAAATATCAATACTTTCAAGAACTTCCTATTTTATAACTCTAGGAGCTCTAGCTAGTTATTTTAGCATAGCCATCCTCCAACCTGGTGCCCTTGAAACAGACTTTTATTATTCAGTTCCAGTAATTCCCAGCTGTCATAGCCATGCTAGCTGAGGATTACAAGAATCTGAAACAACTGGAAGGCATCTGGTTGGAAAATGTTATATTACTATAATACCATGAGTAAATTCCTGTGGTTTTTTTCTTTTCTTCTTAGATATTCTAATCTGGGGAGGGGGGGGCATTGGATGCTTTTCTGGATGGATGGATGATAGATAGATAGATAGATAGATAGATAGATAGATAGATAGATAGATAGATTTCATTCTATTAGAACAAGACTGAACTTTCCCTTCGCCAATTTACCACCACCATTTTCAGAGGTAGGATGAGGGCTTTTTGGCAATTTTTGGAAAGACACAAGCAGCGCAAAGTGTGTGCCCCACTAACCAACAAAATTTTCAATCTCTCTGTGACTACTGGGTGTCATTTTTCTTCAAAGTTTGTTGCTGCCCAAATGATGCCAGAATCACTTTCTAGTCTCTCTCTTCATTCAGATTTCCTTTATAATCGCACTATAAATAATAAGGAAATAACAGAAAATAGTATTTTCACATTATTCTAGCATTATATCAGTCTGAACATTGGTAAGAATATTCAGCTCAAAAATAGTTATTATTATACTGTATTCTTTTTCAATCTGCCCTTTTGTTTAATAGATTGTTTTCTCTTTTACTAAGTCAGAATCAGTCAACAAATACAGAGGGTTTTAGCTAACTAATATTTGACCTTTGTTTAAAATTAAAATCAAAATACTGGCAGAGTTCATTTATGTCATAATGGAAATTGTTTCAAGGAGAAGACTAAACATTTGTCCCTACTGATTAAACATGAAAAGCTGGTTTTGTAATACAAAAGCTAACTCATCTTTCTAAAATTTTGCTAGATTTTCTTTTTAAACAAGCTTGGTTGAAAAAATGTAAACTCTTCACCCTAAATTAGTAATGTAATCAAGAAGGGGGTTCCAATGAAATTTAGGAAATAGAAATGTAAGGACAAGAATATCTTGTGGATTGAGTCCTACCAATGAAGTGACATGGAATTCCCATATAAGGAAAAACACCCACCTGTTGATCAGATGATCACCAAGAATAAAGCCATTAATATGAGGTTGACATTAATGCAATTAGCTAGTAGAATAGAAACCTTTAGTTTTAGTCCTGAATGATTTCTTGGAGTAAGTCTATTGGAATTTGTTCATTTTAAATCATATACCACATCTATGATAATAAAAATGGATCTGATCTCTCAAAATTAATTTTTTCTTGCAGTTTCTGTTTCTGTTCTTGTTCTTCTCTCTTGCCTTTATTCTTTGGCCTTGATGTCAATGTGCCTCTTGAAAGGTAAGGCTATTTCTTTCTTTCTTTTTTTAATAACAAAATAAATACAGTTTCCCAATTCAGTTCCAAAATAGCATAGCTCAAAATATCTGAACTCACATCAGAGATGGAAGGATAAATCAAGAAACTTTCAAATATTTTACTAAGGTCTATTACTTTTCACATATTACACAGAGAGCAATTGGAGTTTTGCAAAAGATGTTAAAGCAAATCTCAACTACCTGTTGAGTGAAACTCAGGTATGTGCTTGTACACACTTGTTTATTGCATTCCACTATAATATTATATTTAAAACATAAGACTTTTAAATATATACCTAAAAATGTAAAACATGCTTTTTAAAAAATGTAATACATGGTGGAATGTTGTCTTTCTCAATGAAGTGTCTGTCTGTATGTATGAACATGTGTTTATGTATATGTAGTTTGTGTGTTGTGTGCATCTGCATGTATTAATATTTTTCCTCACACCAGTTATTGGTAACCTAGACTTTCAAACACAAAACTATAATTTGTAGTAACTGGTTTAATGTTATAGTATAGTTTTTTAAAAACTTAATCAGATTGAATGATTCCATATTATTATAGAATGAAAACATAAGAACTTTTTATAAAGTGTAGAAGAGTGTATTTCTAGCATATAAAAAGTTAAATATGCCAAACAAAATAAAGCCTGAAGAAGAGTTCAGATCTTGGGTCATAAGTATATACTGTATATCAATGGCACACGTCAAAAATTTCAGCCAATGGAGCACTCTTCATACACCTTCAAATAAGTAGTCACAAGGCAAGGATGTCCACTTTCTCCCCTATTATTATCATTCCTTTAGAAATATTGGCAGAAAAGTTCCAAGTTGACAAATACTAAGTCTCAAATACTCCATGGAGAAGAATATAAACTGAAATGTTATGCAGATGATATAGTATTAACTATTACAGAATCACAAAAGGCAATAAGATAGTTGATGAAAACAATCCACAGCTTTCGAGAATTCTCCAAATCACATGTCAATGTCAATCAAATCAATGTCCAAAAATCAAAAATAATTACAAGATACTTAATGCAAGGAGAAGAAAAGCTCTTGCAGAAAGAATCTGGCTGTCAGAGAAGCCACTCAGTGAAATCTCTCTGCATTTTGACAGGTAATAATCAAGAAATATATCAAAATAACTATGCTAAATTATGGCACAAAATCAAAAGAGATCTTGAAAGGTGGACAAACTTAAAGCCTTCCTGGTTAGGATCAATTTCAATCATCAAAATGAATGGACTACACAAGATAAATTACCTGTTACAGATGGTGCCAATTTCAATTTCAGAGAAAACTTTACAAGAATAGGAAGAAATTGTCAGCAAATTCGAACGGAGTGGGGGAAAAAACCCTAGAGTTAAATTCAAAATTTTACCAGATTCAAAAGACAGAGGCAGTCTTGCTCTTCCCAATTTTAAATTGTATCACAAAGCAAGTCGCTGTCATGGTTAACAGAGTGGATAAAGTTCCCAAATTGCAGAATGTCAATATTGGAAGGAACAGGCCTAGCTAACAGGCTATAGAGATATTATGGTACAAGGATACGAAAGAGAACAAAAATTTAAAAGGATGTATTATCAGACAAAATTTGATAAAAGCATGGAACTCCATAAGGAAAATAATAAACTCAACAATTTCACCATTATCTTCTCCTTCAAACACCTTCCATGCTGTAGACAATTACTATAAGTAAAATGTAATTACATATGCAGATATGGTCCACCCAGACTCCATGAATAGATTAAAAACACAGCAAGAAATATCCAGTGAAAGCCGGAATATACCATGTTTGATGTACTTACAAATTGTTGAAAGGATAAAATCTGATCCTAAGAACAAAGGAGGAACACTAAGAAAAATGACAGAATTTGAAACACTTCTGCAAAACCAACACCATCTGTCTGAGCACATCCTACTTAAATATGATACCGAGACAGAACAAATAAATGATTGCATGATAAAATGGATGCAAAACTTTAAAGAAACAGTCACAATACAACAATGGGAAGAGAAGAAGTGGGAGAGAGGAAAAGATTGCCACACCCAAGGATAAAGGACAAAAATTATGGATAAAGAAAAAGGATAAGAGGAGAAGGAAATGAGTGGAAGTTAAATTCCTCCACTGTGGAGGAAGAATCCTAGACCCCCAAAGCCAGGTAAAAGAAAATTCAGAACTTTGTTCATTAAGTTGGATTGAGCAGAACAAAGCAAGAGAAATGCAGTGGAGCTATCTGCTGCAGTTCTTATGTATCCTTAATTAAAAACATTTGCCTAAAGAAACTGATTTAGTTCCACCAGGTATCTATAAATATTTTACCAAAACAGGTCTCTGGTGCTATAACACCCTAGCTGAGAACAGCAATCTAGAAGAGACAGTTTGTTTATTTAGTTACTTGATTAATATGCTACCTTTATGTTCAAAATGAGCACTCAAGATGACTCATTGTCTAAAACAGCCCAAAGAAAAATGCAAAGTAAAAACAAGTATATTAAAACATGAATAATGAAGTCATTACCCATTAAAGGCCTCTTTCCAGTAAAAGAAAGAGATGTGACCTTATAGATTTCCTAGAGGCAGAGAATGGGGAGCAAAATACAGTTACTAAGGGAATAGATTTTATAGCCTAAGAGCAAAGCAGGAAAGATCCTCCCCTTAGGTCCTGATAGATGGGCCTCTAAGAGAAGGGTTGTCTTCAGACGGGCCTTCTAAAGCACCTCTTCTACTTAAGCAGGAAATAAATCTTCAAGATACTTATTTTTTGTTTGTTTGATTTGTATCAACCACATCAGAAAAACACTTTTATGCTTACAGTTTAAGCATTAAAAAGAGTCGTGCAATAGAATGTCCCTGGTACAGTTTAAATCACTGACTAGTGATTTAACAAGAACAAAACCAGCTCCATCCACATCCACGAACCATGGTCAGATATTTTATGGTTAGATCCATAAAGTAAGAGGATTTGTACAGCAGTATCTGCAAAAACTAAGATGCCAAACTGACAACTTGTAGTGACATCATCATGCAAATGCTGCAGTTACATGCTTGTGTTGTAATCCCTGACATAAATCATGGCATTCACATAATGACCTCATAAAACAATGAACCAGATTATTCAATGAACCTGGACAGTGAGAAGTTCAGAAATTTAAGGCGTATAAAACAAAAAATGTACACACAATGCAATTTATAGTGTAAATAAATATCACATGACATTCTCCAACTTAGACTGATTCAGAGGGGATAAGGCTGTCAGGGCTCCCAGAGGTGTTACCTCCAGTAAAGAAAGTAGTAAACCTCTAAGTACCATTGCTAGGAAGCATGAATGGGAGGAGGCTGATAATCTTATTTCTAATCTGTGGGGTTCCAATGGGTCTGGATGGCCACTGTGGTAATAAAATGTTAAACCATATGGGTCTTTGAGCAGATCCAACATCTCTCTTTTGATCTGCACTGATTATCCTCCTGTTGTACACATTATCTATGTGGGTATCATAACATCTCAAAATATTTAGTGTATTACTAAATTCAGATCCAAGGTAGTATAATGGTTAAGGTATTGACTTGGACCCAAGAGACCCATGTTCAGGACTGCACTTGACAACAGAGCTCAGCAGATGACTTTTGTTGCCCAGCAACCTCATAGCAATTTTGTAGAAGGAATACATTGGATGGAGACGCCAGTAAATATTGTATATCCATGAGCTCTCAAGAGCAAAGGTTGGGTATGAACACAGTAATCATTTTTTAAAGAATAGGTGAGAACTTATTTTAATCCAGTGTAAGATATTCTAGGGTACATGGAGCATACAGTAGATTGGTAATTAAACTTCACTAATACAGCCTCCTTTAATTATGCTTTTTTTTTTTTTTTTGCATTTTCTAGACTGATCAACTACACAGAAAAGTCCTGAGAATGGTAGATGCTTCCAAACCCACAAAGAAAACACTGTTTACAACTACTTTAAAACAAAACAACTCTCTGCAGTCAAGGCCACTCCCACGATGCAGTTTAAAGCCATTATTCAAGACCTGTTACTTGACAGTTCCTGTCTAAAGCTACAATATCAGCTGTGCTTAATGAAATTCTGTGAGGAGAAAGAGGAGAATATCCCAGCAGCATACATCACTAGGATTATTTTTTTAAAAAAATCAGCAAGAAGCCGCCATATTCAGCAGATTGAGTGAAGGTATGTCGGGCAAGGAACCAAAGTGACTACAGACTATCAATCCCTGCTGTGCAGGGGGATTATTTTAAACATAAAACACCAACTTCCCATGAAAGTCTTCAATAATTGAGGGGACAGAGTAAAAGAAATGTATTTAGAATTCTAAGAGGACAATTACAGTAATATCCATTTGAAAAAATTGGCTTTCTTAATACAGGGACTCTTTTTTTTCTGTTTTTAAACTCAGGAACAATGACAGCTGCAATGTGAACAAAAAACTGATGTTTTTGTTTCATACTGGGTGGACAACGGGATAGATATAATTGACATTAACCTACTGCTGCCTGCTGGATCAAGGATGATCAGGCCTAGTGCAAGTGGCTGACAGTGCTTGTGAGGATTTTTAATAATGCTGTAGTCTTATCTGTCATGAAAACCCTCCATGAAGGACTGTGTGCTTGAAGTGTATGTTATGTCAAATGAAAAACTCTTCCAAGAATGCCACACTAATTTAACTAGCTGAATATATAATATATATTCAGGAACTGGAATGGAATAGAAGGGTTTTCAGAGTAAGAAACGAGTGGCATCAGAGAAAAAGCAAACACCTTTAATCACACTTCGGCTTCCCAAAATTTCTTCCTTCAATTCATTCAGCGGTTAATGTACTAATGAAATAAGCATTTTGTTTTCCCTCATCACGTTTGTTTCTCCACTGGCTGCAAGAATCATAATAAGGACATCTAAATCTCTTGATTAGCAAACCTGCACATAACAAATGCAC